GAGCAAATCCATAGTTGTACTGCTAAAGTGTTTTAATTGTCTCTTTAGTAAAAAATTCATTCATTTTTAAAACAACACAAATAATACGCTAAAAATAAAAAAGAAAGATTTATTTCAAATTCTTTTAATTTTAATTCACACTTGAGCTGAGATTTATTTTCTTTATTATATTATTCTTCCAGCAGGAAAAAAAAAAGCTCAAATATAACGAAATAATGAAAACATTTAATAACTACAAGACAAAATCTTGGTGCTGAAAAACCAAATGAAATATTTMAATTAGCATGCAGTCCTGTGKTTCCCAAAGTTGGGGTCGGGGCCCACAGTGGGGTCCTAAAACATCAAGGTGGGGTTCTGCAAATATTTTTTGAATTAATTCACACACAAAAAAGGCAACTAAGAGCATTTTCCCCCTTGTTCTTATGAAATAATAAGCTTAGTGTACTTAAAATGGACAAAAATAGCATAATAAATAATATGCTCTTGTTTATTTGACGTGAAAATAATGCTCATCAACAGACAGYTGGGGGCTCAGGTCTCTGCTGCTGGYAGTTTGTGGGTCAAAAGCTGAAAAGTTTGGGAACCACTGTTCACCACGTCCTGATGCCGTGTAATGAAGACACCCCGTTACTGGGGGAGAACGAGCTCTGGACGTTATTCAGGTCCCCGAAGTTCATGTAGTTCCCGGTGGTCCCGGAGGGGCCCTGCACAGTCTGCGGGTAACTACAGGGGTAGTTGGTGCTGCAGCCGGGGCCTGTGTAGTTGCTGAAAGCCGGGTAGTTGTTATAAGTGAAGTGGTTGATGGGGGCCACGCTGTAGGGAGGGGTGTAGGAGGCCGAGTCCGCCGCCAGGCACGGCTTCCCGTCCCGCACCAGCACCGGCACCGACACCCTCCGCGGCGGCGGAGGCGGCGGCGGCAGGGACACCATCTCCAGGCTCTGGTCCTGCCGCTGCCGCTTGCACTTGTACCTCCTGTTCTGGAACCAGATCTTGACCTGGGTCGGGGTGAGTTTGAGCAGGCCGGCCAGGTGGTCTCTCTCCGGGGCGGACAGGTAGCGCTGCTGCTTGAAGCGGCGCTCCAGCTCGAACACCTGCGCCTGGGAGAAGAGGACCCGCGGCTTCCGGCGTCTGCGCGCCTTGGGCCGGTCCGCGTCCTCCGGCTTGATGGCCTCCACTGCGGGCTCCGCGGGGGCACAGAGGTCTTTTTTTATTTATATCAAACACATAAAAAAAGAAGATAAATTATTA